AAGAAAATGGCCTCATTCATGAAGCCTTTTATAAATACACAAGCAAACCACAAGTAAATTATGAATCTGAAAATGTGTTTATGTTAATAAAACTAGGTTTGCAATTTGGGTGTGTGTGCATGGCTCTTTCAGTAAGCATGCCATTAAAATAACCTACACCCATTTACAAATTACAAATGATCACCCTATAAGAAATCAATTAGACTTTCTGACAAAGCTATGTAGTAAATCTTTAACATGTTTGTGCAAAATAAGTTTAAAAAAAGGAAATTTTTAGAAACATCTTGGGTGATATGCTCCCCAGTTCACTGTAAAATGATTTGTTTTGACTCACATTAGAAAGGGTGCCCTAAAACTGAGATTTTATTCAATTTCTATTAAAAAGCTAACAGGATCTAAAATATAAATAATTGATCTGTTAACTAGCAATTTGAGCACACTCAGAAAGGCAGACAGACTACTTTTAACATTCTGGGAAAAGCCATTTTACTGTATAAAACTGGACACAACTCTAAAGTGCATTCATTCATTTTGCTATATTTCACTACTTTTTTGCACCTAAGCTCTGCTTAAGCATTTAATTTAATATGTATTGACTATCAATATAATATAAACACAAAACTTTTACATATGTGCAGCGCTGTGGAAAAGTATTTTCTGATTTCCTTAATTCTGCATATTTGTCAAACTAAATGGTTTTAGTTAATCATACAAAAAGTAACAAAACATGCAGAACATGATTAAACATAAATCTGAACTAATGGATCCTTTAATGAATATGTACACCCATGCAATAAAGGAACAACAGTTACCAGATTCATTTAACCAGGCATTAATAACTCATTTACCTAAACCTGGGAACGATCTTAGTTTGTGTGACTCCTATAGATCTATTTCATTGCTGACCGCAGACTATAAGATCTTTGCAAAAATTATAGCCTTAAGGCTTTTGTTGTATGTAAACACCATCTGTCCCTCTTTTCCCTCCTTTCTACAGATTGTCTGGTTGTATGGTTACAGATGAAGGCTGTTCTTCTCTGGCTTCAGCACTGAAATCAAACCCCTCTCACCTGAGAGAACTGGATCTGACCTATAATCATCCAGAAGAGTCTGGAGTGAAGCTGCTGTCTGATTTACTGGAGGATCCACAATGTGCACTGGATAAACTACCGTGAGTTACTGAGTTATACACATTTCTGACAATGTTTTACTGTAGATGTGTGTGATTTAACTTCTTAGAAAATGATTAAAAGCATCTTACACACTGAGTTTAGCTTCTTACAGACTAAACAAATCTTACACATTGGTTTTAATTTCCTAAGAAATGAATGAACACATCTTACACTCAGAGTTTAACTTCGTATGGAACAAATGAACACATCTCACACTCTTTAGAGTTTAGTGTAGCAGTGTGATTTAGAGCTGATGGTTTTAGCAGTTTGATGTTGTGCTAACTAACCTAGCAGTGTGATTTATAGCTGACTAGCCTAGTAGTTTTATGTAATGATAACTAACCTAGCAGTTTGATGTAACGCTAACTAGCTTTGCAGTGTGATTTTGAGCTAAACAACCCAGCAGTTTGATTAAAACCTAACTGGTCTAGCAGTGTTATTTAGAGTTAACTAGCCTGGCAGTGTGATATAGTACTAGCCTAGCAATTTGATTTAGAGCTCACTCGTATAGCAGTGTGATTTATAGCTGATCAGTCTAGTAGTGTGATGTAGTGGTAACTTGCCTAGCAGTCTGATTTAGAGCTAAGTAGCCTAGCAATATGTGAGGCTAACCAGTTTAGTTTTATCCGGACTGTAGGGTCTAAAGGGTGTTTCATACCGTAACCATTTGTTTTATTCTTTATTTTAGTTTAGTTTTATCTTAATCACAAGATCTGAAGGGTGTTTTGTACCATAATGATCTGTTTTATTCTTTATTTTCAGTTTTATCTGGACCGAAGTTCAGATCAGGTGTTTTATACTGTAACCATCTGTTTTATTGTTTATTTTATTTTAGCTTTGACTTGATATGAAGTTTAATGAATGTATAAATGTGTGTGTTTGTTCTTCAGTGTGGATCATGGAGGGAAGATCAGAATGAAACCAGGACTGAAGAAATGTAACACACACACACACACACTCACACACAGATACACACACATCTTATACAAGGCACACAAATACAAACACATTCTCACACTTTTTCATACACACTCTCTCACACACAGACACTATATACACACGCATTAAACAAATGTCATACAAACACATTACATCCACAAACAGCACCCACACATTAAAATTCTCTCTGTTTTTGTCTCCTGTATGTATTTGTGTGTGTGCATGTGTTTGTACAGATGCTGTTCATCTCACTCTGGATGCCAAACACAGGGAACAGTCGTCTCTCTCTGTCTGAGAGGAACAGAAAGGTGGAGAATGTGGAAGATCAGCATTATCCAGATCATTCAGACAGATTTGATCACTGTTATCAGGTTCTGAGTGTGGAGACTCTGACTGGACACTGTTACTGGGAGGTTCAGTTGAGCAGAATAGCTGAAATATCAGTATCATACAGAGGAATCATGAGGAGAGGACACCGTGAGGACTGTGGAAACGATAATCAGTCATGGAGTCTGTACTGCTATGATTACAAGTAAATTGTCAGACACAATAATCAGGACACTGTCCTACCTGCCCCCCACTCCCCCTCTAACAGAGTAGCAGTGTATCTAGACTGGGAGTCTGGCACTCTATCCTTCTACACCATCTCCCCTGAGACACACACACTGACCCACCTACACACATTCACCACCACATTTGCTGAGCCGCTCTGTGCTGGATTCATAATTTATGAACACTGCTTAGTGAGACTGTGTGAGATAGTATAACCTCTACACAGACAGAGAGAGAGAGAGAGAGAGAGAGAGAGAGAGAGAGAGAGAGAGAGAGAGGTCAGGTTGGTGAAAAATTAGGCTGTTTATAAGTTTGATCTTAGACTGTATGAGAGAAATCAAACCTTTCTGTGCATAAATTATTCTAAACAGAAGGGGATGCCAAAGCCCACGGACATGTGTTTATACATGAGATAGATTTGAGATTTACTGATAAAGAAACACACATTTACCACACACACACACACACACACACACTATACAAACACACACTCTATACACACACTGACACACACACACACATACACACACACGTATGTAAACCTTGTTACTTTTTACAGTATTCGTGTTCATTTTCATTTATTCTAATTGTGTGTAGGTGTGAAATAACACTCACTGCTGAGATAAATGGTTTTAAACACTTTTTCACAGTACTGTATATACCTTGAATATATTTCTGTAAACTTCCAAATGCATTAAAATGAATAAAATTCAGGTATTTTAGTGTAGTAGCTCTGCATCAGTGTTGGGGTCGTTACTCTTAAACAGTGACTGACAGTGATTGACACATTACTCATTAATGTTAAAGTGCTTCGATACTGTACTTATTTACTTTTTTATTCCCCGTGGGCAGTAATTTCCTTACTCTACTCGGTACGTTAGTTATGCGTTACTGAGATACGTTGTTGCGTAATTGCCAGTTCAACCTGACATATGCCCACCTGTCAGCACAGACCCCCATCCTAATCAGGAGGACGAGCACAAGTTCTTTCCTTTTCACTCCTTAATAAAGCACCACAAAGCCGACAGCAGAGCTGGAGAAAACCAGCCCAAAGAGCTGAGATCAAAAAGCATCAATGAGCCCAAAATCCATGATGAATGCACTTCCAAGATTGTTGAGCATGCTAATGCCCTCTATGACAATGCCAGTGTCTCCTGGCTCAGCATCATCCTCATTACTATCTTTTCTAATTGTGTAAATACCCATGATTGTGCACTCACATGTCTTTCTCCACATCACCAATGACAGACCTGAACATAAATACAAACACAATCACTGGCTGTAGCTCAGCTCTTCATCAACATTAGCTCAAATTCAATCAGACTGAGATGTTCACTGCTGTTAATGTTGTGTCAGTAATATTAGGAATATTAAAGTGCTTATTTACTGACGTAATTGTCATAATTACCTGTCTTTGATCTACGACTTGGTTAGATTCTGAATCAGCTGCAGGTAGAATTAATACTGCTGATGTTGAAGTAGCGTCTCAAATTTCAGTGGGACCCTGAAAAGGTGAACATGCAGCCACTCCATCAAACAATCATTTATAAAGCACAATTTCATCAAGTCCTGGCATGTTAACCTTGTCAGAGTCCCTCTGAAAACCTATAGAGCTTCATAAAGCTACGCATTTATGGCTCTAGACATCAGTTTTCTACCAAGGATGAACTTTGAGATGCTGTTTCAACATCAGCAATAAGTTTTCTACCTGCAGAGATCAGAATCTAACCAAATCAATAAATCCAAGACTCATCTTGGTTATATCTAATCATGGCAGTTATATCTGTTAATAAGTGCTTATTCATTACAGGAATCATATCAGCATGTTTGTACAGCATCACCTTCATGAAACTATTGCTTTCACTGATATTGCACAGAAAATCCATCTCGGGGCAAAGCCCGCTCCTGACCCCTCGTGGCGCTGGGTGTGTATCTGAAAGATGAAACCGATAGAGAGGGACCGCCAGTCAGACACACCTGCAAATTTAGCTACTCCCTTCACACTGTGGCCTTTGGCACACCCAAATGCAATCACTCCATTTTGCCAATCACTGACATCTGCTTTGCGACCCATTTTCCACACATTGAACGAGACATTCCCTGCTCTGTACCACCTCTTCTCAATCTATGAATCCTGTCGCACATCCCACAGGTATTTATAGCCTGATAATCCTTGTGCAACAGCATCTGCAGGAGCCTGAAGTTACTACCTCCTTAAACACGTAAAGTGACTTTTGTCCAGGGAGCTTAGTAAATTAAATTAAATTACATTTGAGAAAAAATATTTGTTTCCTGATAAGATCTTCAGGCTTTTTATTATGGTACTTCAAATAAATGTTACATTTGGTTAATATTTTGAATATCAAAAGGATAAACAATAAAGAATGTTACTGATACAGACAATTAAGCAATAAAGAAACAATAAAGAATGGAGCATTAGTTTGGAGTAGCCATAATACAGGCACCAATGACAGTTCTGATAACTCACATTCAGGGGAGCAGTATAATACATGGAAAGTCAATTCCAGGCAAACTTGCATTCATATTACTACAATCTGCATCCTTTCTTATGCAAATACATTCTACTTACACTAAAGAATATACCTTTCAAAAAAGAAGAAACAAAGAAAAACATTTTGATTACACAATGCATAACAGGCTATTATCCTCCTCCTGACCAATATAAGAAAACAGTTTTTGTGGACAACAAAGAAAAATAAAGAAAACATGCAATTCAGCGTTATATGAGACTAACTAGCTCTTAGTTAGGTTTATGACAGTTTCAAATTGGAAGCAACGTAATCATGACAACTGACATAGAAAATCTTTTCAATAATTTAAATTTAACCAAAATATGACTACTCTGCAAGTCTGAGATTTTTGTTCCCACTTCAGCCACTGGATGGCACTGTGGACACATGACAGGTCGTCATGAAGAGTTCTTGTTTTTAGGGTTAGTTTTAAGTTTATATTAATTTGAAAAGGTAGCAATTTTATGATAGAGGTTTCAACCATATAATGGCTTGATTCAAACAAGAAGGAACAGCTGTAGATTCCTTGGGGGGCTTCACAACTCTCTGGAATGTTTATGGTATTAAGGTGGTGGGGGGAGTTGGAAAAGTTGATGTTTTTAATCTTCTGATGGCCTGGTAGGCAGACTTGTTGGCTGCCTCCGTAGAGGGTGGTAGTTTAAAAACAACTGTAAGCTTGGCATGTGACAGCAAAATGGGCCAGTTCTTTAGTAAACAGTGAATTTCAAAAGAAGAATAAAAAAGAATATTTAAAACAATAATAATAATAAAAAAAAAAACGGAGAAAAAACGTCTCAACAGGTTAACACGTTCACAAAACCTGCATTACCAAACATGCAAAGGCTTAACTAAACCAAAAAAAGTGTTTGTCAAAACCATCCAGCATTGCATCAGAAACACTACACTAGCTTAGATCTGCTAAATTAAAAAGAGCCCCTAAATACTGAATGTGGAGCCTCTTGTTTTCCACATATAATAGAAATGAAACTCATTTTGGGGTGAATACGCAGTACCACACCTTCTCATCAGGTGTATAAGCTTTAGGCTTGACTTTGTGTTCAGCACAGGAAATTACACTGAATTTTATTTAGGCTGTAAAAACTACAAAAAAACGAGGTGAAATTTGGCTGGAATCACCGTTTCCTGTTGACTTTTACTCTCAGGCCGTGTTAAGGTTCCACTCATTACTGCTGATTTCCAACACTGTCCTTAGTACACTTGTGTGTTTTTACAGTCTTTGAAAGCCTGAAATTCTTCCCACACTCTGAGCAGTGATCCGGTTTCTCTCCTGTGTGAATGCGCTGGTGTGTTGTAAGATTACCCTGTTGTCTAAAATTCTGTCCACACTCTGAGCAGTGATACGGCATCTCCCCTGTGTGAATGCGCTGGTGTGTTTTGAGATGACTCTGTCGATTAAAACTCTTCCCACACTCTGAGCAGTAATACGGCCTCTCTCCTGTGTGAATGCGCTGGTGTTCTTGTAGATGACCCTGTCGATTAAAACTCTTCCCACAGTCTGAGCAGTGATACGGTTTCTCTCCTGTGTGAATGCGCTGATGTGTTTTGAGATTACTCTTGTCAGTAAAACTCTTTCCACACTCTGAGCACTGATACGGTTTCTCTCCTGTATGAATGCGCTGGTGTGTTTTGAGATTACTCTGGTCAGTAAAACTCTTTCCACACTCTGGGCAGGGATAGGGTTTTATTCCTGTATGAATGTACTGGTGCTTTTGGAGAGCACCCTGGTGAGTAAAACTCTGTCCACACTCTGAGCAGTGACAGAGTTTCTCTCCTGTATGAACACGCTGATGTACTTTGAATTGACCCAGTACAGTGAAATTCTTTCCACACTCTGAGCAGTGATAGGGTTTCTCACCTGTGTGAATGCGCCGATGTATTCTGAGATTACTCTTTTGACTAAAACTCTTTCCACACTCTGAGCAGTGATACGGTTTTATTCCTGTATGAATGTACTGGTGCTTTTGGAGAGCTTTCTTTTGAGTAAAACTCCGTCCACACTCTGAGCAGTGATACGGCTTCTCTCCTGTATGAACACGCTGATGTACTTTGAATTGACCCAGTACAGTGAAATTCTTTCCACACTCTGAGCAGTGATAGGGTTTCTCACCTGTGTGAATGCGCTGATGTATTCTGAGAGTAATCTTTTGCCTAAAACTCTTTCCACACAATGAGCAGTGATACGGTTTCTCTCCTGTGTGAATGCGCTGGTGTCTTCGGAGATTACCCAGTCCATTAAACCTCTTTCCACATTCCAAGCAGTAGTGATTTCTCTCCTTGCTGCGTTTCTGTGTTTCTTTGTGAGATGTGTTCACGTGGAGGGTACCAGATGGCGTTTCCTGAGTACAGGAATGTCTTCTGGATGCCATATTTATTTTTCTCACCTGTTTCAGCAGGTTAACTTTCCTCTTGGTGGAATGTTCTGACGTGTTTACGGAAGCACATTTAAGCTTGGTAGGAAAGTGCAGGAGAAGACTTGAAACAGGACGTCAGTCATTTCTAGAAGAAAAAGAAAAGAGAAAATAAACTCAACTTGCAATGCAACAAAATTAGTCTAATCAAGAATGCTGCACTTGCATCAGCTGGCAGAAAGTGTAAAGAAAGAATAAACTTAAAAAACCCAATAACCTCATAATGTATAGTCCTTATACACACACAAATAGACCACTGATATTGGAAACCACAGGGTTAAACTGGATATGCTCTTGGCTAAAATGATAGACAGATCACTTTATTAATCCCAGAGGGAAAGTTTTCTATTACAGCAGCACAAAGTACAGCAGCAAAACAAGAACAAAACATTTGATATTTACAGATGCATAGAAGAAATATACTAAACTAATGCTGAAAATATAATGTAAAGTACAAAAATAAGTAGTAAAATCGCATAAATACTAGGCCGTTGACAACGCATTTGTGCATGTCCCCTCCAGTGAATGAACCAAGTCATTATGCTCTGTAAAATGTAATAAATGTTAACAGTTGTGCAATATGAACTATAACCCCATTTCCAAAAAAGTTGGGACACTGTGCAAAATGTCAATAAAAACAAAATGCAATGATGTGCAAATCATTTACATGTATTACATTTATATTTAATTGAAAAAAGTACAAAGCCAACATACAAAACGTTGAAACTGAGATATTGTAGTGTTGTTTGAAAAATATATGCCCATTTTGAATGTAATGCCAACAACACATTTTAAAAAAGTTGGGACGGGTGCAACAAAAGACTGGTTGTGTAATGCTAAAACAAAAAAAAAATACCTGGTGGTTAATTGGCAACAGGTCAGTGACATGATTTGGTATAAAAAGAGCATCCCAGAGAGGCTGAGTCTTTCAGAAATAAAGATGGGGAGGGACTCACCACTCTGTGAAAGACTGCATGGGCAAATGTTTGTGAATGTAAAATACCAAAGAATTTTGCTTTCCGTCATCTATAGTGCATAATATCATTAAAAGATTCAGAGAACCAAGAGAAATCTTTGTATGTAAGGGACAAGGCTGAAAACCAATATTGGCTGGCCGTGATCTCCGAGCCCTTACGCAGCACTGCATTAAAAACAGACATGATGCTGCAGTGGAAATCACTGTGTGGGCTCAGGAACACTTCTGAAAACAACTGTGTGTCAACACTGTTTTTTGCTGTATCCACAAAAGCAAGTTAAGACTGTCCTATGCAAAGAAGAAACCATACATGAATAGGATCCAGAAACTGCCAACTCTGGGCCCAAGCTCACTTAAGATGGACTGAAGTGAAGTTGAAAAGTGTCCTGTGGTCCAATGAATCAAAATCTGCATCCTCCAGGTTAAAGACGACCCAGCTTGTAATTAGCACACAGTTCAAAAGCCAGCATCCATGATGAAATGGGGGAGCATTAGTACACATGGCATGAGTGTCTTGCACATCTGTGAAGGCACCATTAATGCTGAACAAAATATACAAGTTTTAGCAACATATGCTGCCATCTAGACAGCGTCTTTCAGGGAAGGCCTTGCTTGTTTCAGCAAGACAGTGCCAAACTACATTCTGCAGGTATTACAACTAGGGCTGCAACAAATGACTAATTTGATAGTCGAATAATCTATCGATTACTGAAACGAATAATCGATTATTTGGATTATGAATTACTACATTTCCAAATAACTCTTATGTACCTATCAGCTTTCAAATTTAGCTTGAAGTTGTTTTATGCATTTGCTAACCAACAATAAAGACGAATAACATTAAAAAGTTCCATTTTAATGAAGCTTCCTGCTAATACAAAAAATAAATAAAACTCCAACACAGTTTTCCTGTCAGGAATTAAACGGGAAAGTGGCGAACGTCGGTGGCAAACTTCTCTATGAACAGTTAAATGAATGATTTTGTATAAACATTTAATTTCAGTGGTAACTCTTTGTCCAGCTGCCCTGTATGTTCCCGGAGAACTGCCTCCTGAAACTGTTTGAGTGCTCACAAACGTTCGTGGAGAACAGAAAACTGTTTGCAAACACTCTCCTGCGTTCGCCAAATCTGAACGCACCAGTGGCCTCGACGTTAAGTCAATGATGCAGCGTTTGAAAGGTAAACAGGGTCGTTGTGAATAATAGTTACTCGCCTCTCTGTTCCAACCCCATTAACGATTCAAGACAGCATGCGATCAAAATAGAAAATGTTACAGCTCAGCTTATAACATGAAGTAGGATGGCTTTTAAACCACACAATTCTGTACTTCACACACTACAATAATCAGTGCACTTGTAATTGTATACAAGTTATTTTTACACACTATTTAGTGTGCTAGTATGCGGTTTGGGACGGGGCGTATCTTAGCAAGAGGAATCGTCTCCAAGTGTCGTGTTTCCTTCTCAGATGCTCCAGCATGGAGGATGTGACACTCCTACCAGCTACCGACCTCCAACCCCTCAACCAGACATTCACAGCTCTCACGCTACACCCAAACAGACCACCTCAAACACCCACCATATATACTTAAACCAGCTCTTAATCTACCAGCCATTGACCTGCAACCCCTCACCCAGACATAATTCACAATTTACTGAAAGAACATCTGAAAGGCAATATATGCGATTCATGCTATTATAAAACACCACAGATCTGTAATGTAGAGGATCAGGTTCAACCTTAAAAAGACTCACTACAACCAGAACAATTACTAGTTTGGTTGAGTCATTTGCTACAGGATAGACACTAATTTTAAGATTATACTAAGCAGTGACATAATAGTCTTATAAAAACACCTCCATATCATACACAGAAAGGGAAAATCACATCTGCTGCTCCTCAGACATACAGCCCATTTACAAACCACCGCCTGTGCCACCCAAACACAAATAAATTAATATATTTACATTAACTATCTGAATATTTCAGACAGTAGACATTAATAAACAAAGCGTGAAGACACACATACGTTCCCCCAAACCCGATCACAGCAGCTCCTCCTCTAAATCACTGCAGGATGAGCAGCATTTCCATCAATGAGGCTCTAACAGACATTTAAAGACCCTCATCAGTCAGTTACACCGACATATAAGGACTGAAACCAGCTTAAAGCAGCACTTACAGCTCTTTAATCTCAGACTGAGTCTCCGTTTCAGAGTCTCCCCCAAACACAACACGCGGTCCTCATGGGGAAGGTCGCTCTGAACGTGGATTTACAGGCTGCTCAGCTTGCCAGGCTGCGTCCCGCCTCCTCAGCCAATCAAATAACAGCATCGTCAGTTCCGCCAAGTCCAACCAATGAGGTCGCGGAATCACGGAGCCGCGCAGGGATTCAAAATCTCAGCGGCTCGGTCTCGGACGGACAGACAGACGGACAGACAGACAGACAGACAGACAGACAGACGGACGGACGGACAGACAGACAGACAGACAGACAGACACTCACTCACTCACTCAGACACTGCAGCTTCTGCTTATTCGGTAAGTAATAATCATAAAAAATAAAGAAACACATTGTTTGTAAAGTGAGATCAGTTATAAATACGACTGCATTGTTCCATAAATCAGTAAAAACTACTGAAAACTGGTCATTACTGCGTTTGCAGAGCTGAACGGAGCAGCAGCTCTGAATGTTTTTAGCATGTTGGCTAGCTGCTAGAATGCTAAGGAGCCAGTAAACAGAGCAGCATTACAGAGTCAGCATTGAAGGTATGGAAAATAGGGCTATCTTTCATATAAGTTAGTCTTTTTGGACACTGCTTACAATTTTAAATCTTTACAGCAATTTCATGTTTTATCAAACTTACGTAATATGTGGAGTTCTTGGCTCCAAGTCAGACACTGGAAATGCATCTTTTCCAGGCTGATGTATCTGCATTTTCCTCAAAGTCTGACAAAAAATATTTCTCATACAAAATTAGATGCAATGATATTTTCATATTGAAGCTGCTCTGGCTTTTTTTGGTGGTCTTAGGATGATAGTAAAGATTAACACCACCCAAACTGATTAGAAGGCCAGTGAAGGCCTTTTTACCCTATTGCTTGACATCCTAAAGTTTGTGTGTAAGGCAGAGTTACTAAAACCATTTTGCTAAGTTCTCCTTACTTCAATGAATCAATTTTTATTTTTTTACTTTAAGTTTGTTAGAGACTAAAATTATAGATAGATAGATAGATAGATAGATAGATAGATAGATAGATTTATTAATCCCAGAACGAAATTCTTCTATTGCAGCAGTACAAAGCACAGTAAACAGCAAACAAGAGCAAAGTATTACCGTGCACTATTTACAGTTATAAAAAAGAAGGTAGAGATAAATAATAGAATAAAACGTACTAAACAATGAACAGTAAGAATAATGTGTGGATGCACAAAACAAAGTGACAGTGCAGGGTGCAGTTTAAAATGATAGAGTGAGTTTCAGAGACTCCTGTAGTGAATTCTAGCTCACTGTTGCTCTGAGATAAAAGCAAAATCAGATCTGATGGGTTTAAACAGATCAGACTCACATAAGCAGCTTCACTCCAACCAGAGCTGAGTGATGTGAGCTGCTGCGGGACAGAATGTTTGGCTGATAATGTTTTTTCTGGTTAGATTTTTCAAGCACAGTAGTTTGTTTCTGAGTTATTAATGATTTATGTTTACCTAGAAAACCTGTTTTCTGCAACAATAATGCTGTAATATAGTGGATTAAAATGCTGTTTTTTTGCTTTCCAGTCAACTTTTGGAACAAGCTTTTGTGATTCTTGGCTTCTGTTCTTTTGTGAGCTGATGATATCAAGTCAACATTTTAAACAGAGTCCTTTATTTTTTAATTTGAACACAAAGCAGATCTTATCAATCATTTACTTAGGCATTTACATTGCAGGTCATGCTGCAATGACTGTGTGGCTGTAATTAGTGTAGATATAGTGACTGATGTGCTGACGTTATCCAAGATGGGTGTAGCTATTAGTACAAATGTGGTGAGAAATCTACTGTTTGTTCTAGAACAATATGAAGTGCTTCTTGAGAACTGAATGTCTGGGTGGGGGTGCAGGTCAATGGCTGGTAGGTGTATGAGGTCTGTTTAGTAAAGGGAGGTGTAGTGTGAGAGCTGTGAATGTCCACATCAGATGGAAGTTTTTTCTTTCTTTACACCTTCTGCCAGTTGATGTAAGTGGATCATTCATAATTTGGATCAGACTACTTTTGTTGCATTGCACATTGAGTTTAGTTGAAATTTTTCTTTTCTTTTTTTCAGAAATGAATGATGTCTTGTTTCAAGACGTCTCCTGCACTTTCCTACTCAGCCTAAATGTGTCTCCATAAACACATCAGGACAGTCTACCACGAGGAATATTAAGCTGCTGAAACAGATGAAGTATGAGAATATGGCTTCCAGAAGACGTTCAACTTCTCAGCAAACATCATCTGGTACCCTCCACATGAAAACATCTCACAAACAAACACAGAAATGCCGCAAGGAGAGAAATCACTTCTGCTTGGATCCTAGAAAGAGTTATACTGTACAGAGTCATCTCAGAACACACCAGCGCATTTACACAGGAGAAAAGCCGTATCACTGCACAGAGTGTGGGAAGAGTTTTACTGTCCAGAGTAATCTCAAAATACACCAGCGCATTCACACAGGAGAGAGGCCGTATCACTGCTCAGAGTGCGGACAGAGATTTACTGTACAGAGTCACCTCAAAGACCACCAGCGCATTCACACAGAGGAGAAACCGTATCACTGCTCAGAGTGTGGAAAGAGTTTTACTCAACTGAGTCATCTCAAAAGACACCAGCGCATTCACACAGGAGTAAAACCATATCACTGCTCAGAGTGTGGGACAAGTTTTACTCGATGGAGTACTCTCAAAACGCACCAGCGCATTCACACAGGAGAGAAGCCGTATCACTGCTCAGAGTGTGGGAAGAGTTTTAATCAACAGAGTAATCTTAAAACACACCACCGCATTCACACAGGAGAGAAACCACATCACTGCTCAGAGTGTGGGAAGAGTTTCAGGCATTTTAAGACTGGGACAATCCACAAGTGCACTAAGGACAGTGTTGGAAATGTGCAGTAATGATCAATAACCAAAGCATGTAACACCTTAACCATAACACATCTTGAAAGTAAAAGTCTGCAGGAAACAGTGACTTCAGGCTTGATTTCAAGCTGTTTTTTGTTTTACACTGTCATCTTTTTTACATTGATTCTGAAAGATAAGTATAAAAGTGAGTTTCTTTTGTACTGTATTATATATATGGTTCACAAGACAAGAGGCTTTTTATGTTCTAATTTAGAAGATTTAAGATAGCATAGAGTTTCTGATGCAATGATGGATGTTTTGACCAACGTGACAGTGTGCTTGGCTAGTTATTCTTCTCTCTCTCTCTCTCTCTCTCTCTCTCTCCCTCCCTCTCTCTTAGTTGTTGAGATAATTTTTCACCATTTTCTCTATTTTTACTCTTTAAATATTATTTCTTTTATTATGGTCCTGTAAAGCACAAAATAGAGTACATTTCATAATCAGATATTACTAATAGACAATGACATTTAAACATAATTTAGTTCCTTTTTTGTGGGCCCATGCCTCCTCCGGACCTCATGAGCTTCAAAAGGCCAGAAAGCAGGTCTGCAATATTTTAGTAAACTGAATTACAGTATTCCTCTGGTAAATTTTATGTATTTCATTCCTATATGCATATTAGTCAATTACATCCATCAGTTAATGCAGTGTTTACCTTGTAATGCATTATTTGCTAATTAATGAATAAATATGATTATTATTAAAGCTATCCTTTGTGTGGATGATTGTATAGCTGCCTGTTCAGTCCCCTGCCTACATAGGAATTCATGGGCAGATTTGTGACAGAATTAAACGGTCTCTTTTTGGTTTCTGGGTTCTATGAATGGGTGTTTTTATGCATTTCTATTTTTTTTATCTTAGACTGTGGTAAATCACTAACCTTTATCAGACCTGCTTCTTCAGCTTCTTTTTCTCCCTCTTCTCACTTGTGTTTACTATCATGTTATTTTTTTTTTTATTACGCTCAGATTTTACAAGAATTAGAGGATCAATGAGTTATTTTTTGTTTAAACTGGCAAAAATCTTTTGATTGGTCTTCTACAGAGCTGCCAACTCTTAAATAAACAAATACAGTAAAAACAATATATAGCTGTTGGGGAGGGGGCGTGGTCGAGTGTCAAATTCAGGATGGAGAGCCCATCATGTTAAACCACCAGGCTGAATAGCTGGTAGAGTTCACCTCTGTGTTGTTTTTTTGCCAGCCTACTTATAGTTATGTCTTATGTCAGAAGGATGGCAGAGACCAGAGAGAGAAGAACACGAGAAACAAAGAGCAACCTGAGCAGAATTGAGGCTGAAAAGTCATGAGTAAAGCAGTTCTCATTTTGTTGTACAAGCTGAAAATCTTAAGTTCTATGTCATCATATTCTGCTTTCAGTGCCCTTACTCCTCCCAGCAGATCAGCAGACAAATGTTGCAGTGGAAACCTTGCCACTTGGAGAAATTGTCAAAGCCCTCTCTGTCCTGCACCATACCCAACGTCGAGTTCTCACCGATGTGCAAAGAGAATACTAAGCCTGATTTGAGGCCCTGGCCCAAGGCAAAGAGGGAAATCAGAAGCTTATGAGTACTGGGGATGGCCAAAGGACTGGGTGATCCATCTACCTCCCCCACTAATGGAGGAAGCCCAACTTGCTGCCCAACAGCTCCTCACTCAATCACAGCTGGAGTATGACAAGCTGAGAAGGATGCCCTTCAGAGAGTTGATTGGACTCCCAAACAACACAGACAACAATTCTGCTTGCTGATGCTGTGGGAGTTCACCTCACCCTTTGTGTTTACACAGCAGCTCCGTGACTCCTGCAGGAGGTGGCTTCTGTTTGAGAAATGTGACTCATAGGAAGCCCTTGACCTTGTGGTGTTGGAGCAATTCATTGCTCTACTGCTGGAGGAGCCAGCAACCAGAGTCACTGGAGAAGTCACCAAGCTGGCGGAGGCATATGTGGCAGCGTACCTGGGGGCAGGAACAAAGACACAGCAACCTCTCTTCTCTCTTCCCACTCCTGCACTAAGGAGAAAAGAAGCTTTGGCCTCTAAACCTCTTCCTTATACTCGAGTCCCCCGTAACCCCTGTTTCTCCCCACGTCTCTCTCTCAAATCCCTTCCACCTCTTCTTTACATCTCCCTTCTCTCTCTACACAGGTGGCATCAGCTGAGCCCATGAGAGCTGGGGTGAAGCCTGGGCAGGTGTGTTGACACTAAGGGGAGCCCAGGCACTTCCAGGACCAATATCACTGCATGGCGGTTGGCGTTCCTGCATCACCACACCTCTCCCCCGATTGAGCAGGAATGTATCATATTTCAATGAGTATACAAGGGGGTACTTCAGTCCTTGGTTGATTCTGGCTGTGATCAAACCACAATCTATCAATACTTAATTCAAGACATGGCATTAGAGAAGGCTTATCTGGTAAATATGCAGTTTGGAACATGCACAGGGACAGTCATGATTATCTGCTTGTGCCATTCACTATTGATTTTATGGGTGAAAAGCGTAGCGTTAAGGTGGCAAGTAGTGCTCACCTTTTCTATTCTCTGATCTTGGGGACTCTGCCCTCGTGACTCCCCTTGGGGATTTCCCTCTGGAGCAGTCACATGACAAGACCCCAAAAGCACCATTGTGCCAACTTCCAGAGGGCACCTTTGAAAGAATTGGTGTGGCCCTCGTTGGACTATTAGATAAGAGCCCACAAGGATATTGCTTTGTATTCATTTTAGTGGATTATGCAGCATGATACCCAGAGGTGTTGTGGAGGCACTCTTCTGAGTGATCTTCCGTGTTGGAATCTCAAAAAAAGATCCTGATTGATCAGGGCACTACTTTCATGTCACGCACATTATGGGACCTATATGAATGTTTAGGACTTCATTTTACACCAGTGTTTACCACCCCCAAACAGATGAAAACGTCCAGCAGTTTAATCAGGCTCTCAAAAATATGATCATCAGAGAGTAATGGGCGAGGGGACCTTTGAAGAGCAAAAACTAAATTTAGTATGTTCTTGACCTGTGAGCAAAATTCCATGCACTAGGGCACTTAACTCAGGAGACTTTGTTCAAGGCTCAAGATCATCAGAGTCGCACCCACAACAGATGCATTCAGCTGGCAAGAACCCTTTAAGGTCACAAAGCAAGCAGGAGAAGTCTTCTATGAGGTTAGATGGTCAGACAGAGGCAAATTGTCTCACTTCCATTCGGGTTGTTTGCAGCCCTGGCTACGTTTCAGTGGCTTATGGACAGAATTCTCAGACCTCACTGTGCATATGCTGCTGTCTGCTTGGATGACAATAGTCCATAGTAATGATTGGCAGCAGCACATGCCATCCTAAGGTTGCTGAGATGGGCTGGACTCACAGCCAACCCAAAGAAGTGTGCGTTTGGTCGGGTGGAGGTACGATATCTGGGCTTAAACTCGGGTCATGGACAGGTGTGTCCCCAAATTGATGAGACAGCAGAAATTACAGCCTGACCAAGATCAAAAAAGGAAGGTGAGACAGTTCCTGGGGCTGGCTGGCTGTCGTAGGTTTGTACCTAATTGTTCAAGCATCACCACCCTGCTGACTGATCTCACTAAAAAGGGAGCACCAGAACTGGTCCAGTGGATGAAACAGTGCCAACATGGTTTTAACCGGGTTAAAGCAGTTCTCTGAGGGTGGCCACTGCTGCATTCTCCTGACTTTTTTCTTCCTTTTGCTTTGTAGACTTATGCATCAGACAGAGGGCTAGGGGCTGTTTTGTCCCAGGTGGTGGAGGGAGAAGATTGTCCAGTGCTGTACATAAGTTGAAAGCTGTCCATACAGGAGATTTAAGTTCAGCAATATACAAAAAAATGTCTGACCATCAAGTGGACAATCCTCACTCTCCATTACTACCTGCTGGCATGTCCTTTCACCCTCTCTTTAGACCATGCCCCCTTCCAATCATACCACTGCATGAAGGGTGCCATCACAAGGTTCACCTGCTGGTATTTAGCCCTGCAATCCTTTATGTTTTAGGATGTCCACAGGGCAGGGGTTCAAATGGTGATGGCTGACTTCCTCTTTTGCCAACTGCCCTGCCTGAATCGGGTAGTGGAGGAGTGGGCATGGTCGAGTATCACATGCAGGACAGAGAGCCAGTCATGTTAAACCAGCAGGCTGAGTAGCTGATGATGTTCACCAATTTATAGTCATGTCTTTTCTCAGTAGGCTGAGATCAGCAGAGAGACAGAGTGAACTGAACAGATTCAAGACCCAAAAAAAGTCATGAGTGAAGCAGTTCTTATTTAGTTGTACAAGCTGAAAAGTTGAAGTGTTTGTGTTGTGGAATAAAAAGAAAGCTCTGCATCTCTATACCCTGCTCCCAGTGTCCTCACTTCTCCCAGCAGATCAAAGAGTTATCACAATAGGTAATACTGGAGTGACTGTTTTAAAGTGAAATGTGAAAACAAATAATCTGTGAAGGTTCTTTAATAAATTTTTAAAAATGCTTGACTCTTTAGCTAGCTAATATTTGTGCTTTATGGCCTTTCCCCTTTTCTTTACCTCACCTGAACTTAGTTAACTAGCAGCTAAAAATTGATAGCCAGCTATGATGACCACAATTTGCAGAAATCTGTGTTTTAGGTAGATATCTTCATTCTGTAACTACACACTGATTCAGATTGTATATGATATTGTAGCATGTTCAATAAATGTTTGAATTTGAAGAAGAAATGTTAGTATAGGTTATTGATCTTCAGCATCTGTTCACAAGGTTGTTGTAATAAGGATTTTTATTTTGAAGGGGGGGCTAGTTTTTCTTCAGGGAGATATATGATAGAGCAGGAAGAACTGCAGCATACAGTAAAACAAGGTGTATGAGGGTGTGTGTGTGTGCGCGTGTATGCGTGTGTGATAAATGTGTGTGTTTCTGTAACAGTAAATCTGAAATGTATCTCATATGTTAACACATG